CCTTTTGAGGTAGGCACCGGAACCACTGAGCTAAATCCTCAGCCCTATTGGTTAATTTCTTGGTGATAGCCATTATTTCTGGAGTGAGATAGAATCCCAGTGTTCTTTTAATTTACTTCTGTCAAATGGTCAGAGACGTTGAACATTTTTTTCATATATTTATTTATCATTTCTACCTCTTCATCTGAGAAGCATCTATTCATTTCAGATGCCCGTTTTTCATTGAGTCTTTAAATCTGGGGAGTCTGATTCTTTGTTTAGTTCTTTATATATTCTAGATGTTAGTCCTTTGTCTGAGGAACAGCTGACAAAAACTTTTTCCCACTCTGTGGGTTATTTCTTCACTCCGTTGGTGTTTTCTTTTGCTGTGAAAAGGCTTTTTAATAAGGTGAGGTCCCAGTTGTTGGTTCTTTGTAGTATTTTCTGTGTGATCGGGGTTTTGTTCATGAAGTCTTTGCCTACATCTATGTCTTCAAGGGTTCTACCTATTCTATCTTCCAGCAGATTTAGTTTTTCTATTTTAATATTTAGATTTTTTATCCATTTTAATTGTAGTTTAGTGCATGATGATAGATATGGGTCTAGGTTTAATCTTTGGCATGTGAAAAGCCAGTTAAAGAGACTATCTTTCTTCCAGTGAAGATATTTAGCCTCTTTGTCAAAGGTAAGGTGGTTGAGTGTGTTTGAAGTTGTTTCTGCATCTTCTAGTTTGTTCCATTGATCCTCAGGTCTGTATTTTTGCCAGTACCATGCTGTTTTTAACACAGTAGCTTTGTAGTATAATTTCAAGTCAGGAATTGTGATGCCCCCTGCCTTGCCTTTGTTGCCCAGACTTGTTTTTACTATTCTAGGTCTCTTCTGATTTCAAATGAATTTTAGGATTGTTTTCTCTAATTCTATGAGGTATGCTATTGATGTTTTGATCAGGATTGTATTAAATCTCTATAACAATTTTGGAAGTATGACCATTTTCACTGTATTGATTCTTCCTACCCAAGAACAAGGGATGTTTTTCCATTTTCTGATATCCTCTTTGATCTCCTTTTTCAGAATACTGTATTTTTCAATGTAAAGGTTTTTACTTCTTTGTTAGATTGATTTCTAAGTATTTCATTTTTTAATGCTTTTGTGAAAGGTGTGTTTTCCCTAATTTCTCTCTCAGTGAGTCTGTTATTTGTGTACAGGAATGCTCTTTGATTTTTGAGTGTTGACTTTGTATCCACCTATGCTACTGAATTTGGTTATTAAATCTAGAAGCCTTTTGGTGAAGTTTTTGGAGTCTTCTATGTAGAGTATCATGTCATTCCCAAATAATGATAGCTTCTTCTTTTCCTATCCTTATTCCTTTTATTTCTTTCTTTTGTCAAATTGCTGTGGCTAATGTTTCCAGAACTATATTGAATACAAGTGATGATAGTGAGCATCCTTGACTTATTCCCAATTTTAGAGTAAAAGTTTTCAGTTTTTAACCATTTAGTATGATGTTGGCAGTTGGTTTGTCATAAATGGCTTTTATCATATTGAGATAAAGACCACCTATTCCAATTTTCTGTAGGGTTTTTATCATGAATGGGTGTTGGACTTTATCAAATACTTTTTATGCATCTATTGAGATGATTACGGGGTTTTGTCCTTGGTTCTATTAATATGATTTGCATATGTTGAACCATCCCTGCATTCCTGGGGTGAATCCTACTTGTTCAATTTTCTTGATGATTTGCTGCATCCTGTTTGCCAGTATCTTATTGAGGATTTTTGCATCTATGATCATTAGGGAAATTGGCCTGTAGTTCTCTTTTTCGGTTAAATTCTTGTCTCATATCAGAATAGAGATTACTTCCAGGAATGTCTTTGGTAGTATTACATCCCTTTCATTAAAGAGTTTTAAGAGTAGTAGTATTAGATCTTTTTTAATGTCTTGTGTAATTCAGCAGTGAATCCATCAGGACCTGAGCATTTCTTTGTTGGTAGGTTTTTAATTACATCTTCAATTTTGGGGGCTTATTTGGAATTCTTAGATCTCCTTGATTCAGCTTCGGTAATTCATATGTATCTAGAAATCTTTCCATTTCTTCTGTGTTTTAATCTCCTAGATATCTGTTTTTAAATCTCCTGGATATCTGTTTGAAACTGTTTCATGGATTCTATTTCTTTCCTATTTTGGACATTCATGGTTTTCATCATTTTCTCAAGTTCCTTTATTTTTTTTATCTGTATCTACTCTAGATTCACTAACTATGTCCTTCATTATGGACAGCATCACTTTAGTTATTTGATAGTATGTTATTTAGAATTTTTATATCTTCTTGATTCAGCTTTGGTAATTTTGTATGTATCTAGGAATCTGTCCATTTCTTCTGTGTTTTCCACTTTTTTAGAATACAGGTTCTTGAAGTAGGTATTGATTATCTTCTGAATATCTGCCTGCAGATATTCACCCTTTTAATTTCTAATTGCATGGATTTGAGTCTTGTCTTTTTTTAAGGTTGGCTAAGGGTTTGTCAATTTTATTTAATCTTTCAAAGAACCAACTCATTGATTCATTAATTCTTTGTATTTTTTTTTAGTCTCAATTACATTAATTTCTGCTCTGATCTTGATAATTTCCTCCCTTGTACAAGCTTTGGGTTTGATTTGCTGTTCTTTTTCTAGAAGCTTGAGGTTTAACATTAGGTTGTTTATTTGAGCTCACTGTTTTCTGATATGGGAATTCATTGCTATAAATATCCCTTGTAGGACTGCTTTCATTGTATCCTATAAATTCCAGTATGTGGTATTGCATTATTGTTAATTGTATAAACTGCCTAATTTCTTCTGTGATCCAGTGGTTGTTCAGGAGGGTGTTGTTTAATTTCCATGTGTTTATGCAGTTTGTGTGGTTTCTTTTGCCATTGATTTCCAATTTCGTTGTGCTAAGGTCTGATAATATGCATAAGATAATTTAAATTCCTTTCTATTTACTTAAATGTGTTCTATGAGCTAGTATGTGGTCTATTTTGGTGTGACGGACCAGCCGTCACCAGTTGAAAGGTTCCTGAATGGGGGAAAGGAGGACTGAGAAAATAAGACAAAGAGACAGAGTCGGGAGGGCTCCCAAGACCGAGCAAGCAAGTTTATTT